CCTGTTAAACTATCATGGGATTGATGCAGCACAGCTTTCCGTAACTTTCTCGGTATAACCGTTTGCCAGGTCGAAGAATACCATCTTCAAGCTTCAACTGGTCCCATTGTACCCAATAGTTCTTTGTTGCAAAGTCTAGCTCCCCATGTAATGTTACAACAGAATGATGATTTGTTGAAGTTTCATTGGATGTTTGTGGATTTTAGGGAAACAGCCATGCAATTGTTGAAGCTATATTTCAGTCAAAATTGCTTCCAGATTTAATCTCATAGCACATATCTTTTAAAAATTTCCTGTGCGTGTTGATTGGGCTTAATACAATATGTGTTGGTTTTGATCTCACAAATTAGAACCCCCTTTCAAACATTCTGCATACGGGGCTGCCATAGTTATTCCAAGTTTTTAGTTAATTTTTTGAGTTTGTTTAAATTGTGTCCTCTTTTTTTGTGTACTAACATAACATTTATATATTTACTGGCTAGTTATCTGATATGTTGATGTTTATGTTCAAGTTTATTTCCCCCCTTAAATATATATATATATATCATATTAGTTAATTCAGCTTGTAACTTTTTATGTATGCATGTCCATCTAACTCCTCCCACAGTTCTGAAGCTAATAGGACAAATCTTGGCAGACGAACTTGGGATGGCTCGGGGAGACAAGGGGGTTCTTTATTTATTCGTGTATCCTCCCATTCCAAGGTAGTGCCATGGTGACTAACCTTCCTCTAAAGGTTACTCAAGCGCGATGAAGGTCTAGGTGTAGGCTTTCAGGGCCACTGAACCTGAATCTGGCATCATATATTGGTACTCTTGTACCATTTTTATCTTGGTACACTCCTGTTCTTTACAGATGCTTTCTGTATGGTTCATGCCTCCACTGGCCCGTCCACCTTCTCAATATGGGATTCTAGCTATAGTGTCAGCAGAGGTAAGTATTTAAATTCGATGACGAGGAACCCACTTTGAGACTAATAATGGTTGGAGACAGCTTGAATGGGTAATGAAGAAAAACTATAACATACTATAATAATAAATATAAACTTGTACCTGATCATGACAAAACCTTGTCGAAACGTTGTACATTTGCTGTTATGTTAAACTTACATTAAAGTTTTTCTTCATTACCCATTCAAGCCGTCTCCAGCCATTATTAGTCTCAAAGTAGGTCCCTCGTCATCGAATTTGAATAGCATCATTCAGTGACAAAAATATTTGAAAGAAGATTAGAAAAACTGCCGTCTCCAGCCATTATTAGTCTCAAAGTAGGTTCCTCGTCATCGAATTTGAAGGCAGTTTTTCTAATCTTCTTTCAAATATTTTTGTCACTGAATGATGCTAACAGTATTGGTAGGGCAAATGCCCCATTGGCTGCGGCGTATATGTACTTTTAGAAATTGTATTAAATTCCTTATTTTAACGAACGCCTATTTTTTGTAAATGTGTAGAATAGATGTCGCTTTTTAAAATTATTTGTTAAAATTTATATCCTTCCTTCGTCGCCATTTTGCGCCACGACTATTCAATTGTTGAGTAACGCAGGTGTGTTTATTTCGTCCCCTTGGGCGGATTTGGGGATTTGGATATCCCCAGTATAGTTTTATTTCTTATTTTAATTTTCTTGATTCAAAATTTAAACAGTGTATCGAGTAATAGTTTGTTGTATAACTAAGCATGTATTGTTAGATTTTATGCCATGAAGAAACAAGAGTGCAACAAAAATTCTCCGAGCGGAGCTTGTTTTGCTCTTATTTTTGAACTTGAATACACCCACGAATCATTTGAAAGTTTTGTGGATGTTAGAAGAACCAACTATGGAAAAAAAAGGAGCTGGCCGCAGTGCATCTTCAAAATCCAACGGGTCTGATTCGAAAGTAAAACAAGGTAGTACTACTACAATTTACAAATAAATTTGTAAAATGTAGATTGTAATTGTAATTTGTATATGAAATTGTGATGCAGCTTAACATTCATTAATATATATCAATTACTAATAGTAATAGACTAAGTTGTAATAGTGAACACACTTATTAGTTATTATTAATATTATCGTTAGAACAGTGTTAATGTTACATATTAAGTCTTACAAATAAAAGTACAATAGTGAATAGTACAACTTAGGATGTATCATTATTAGTACTACTAGTACTACATAATGATAACTTCTGACCAAGCAAAACTAGAAATCAAGCTGGCCATCAGTATATTTAAATATACATTTCTTATGTTTTTACATACAAAGACTAGAATGCATTGCTTTATCAGTTGGGTACCCTCACTGTTAATGATATTTTTGGCCATAAACCCAACAATATCTCATGACGTTTGGCCAGCATAGGAGGTTTAGGTTAGTTGTTTCACAGTATTACAAAACCAAAAAATAATACAATTTAGTAGAGCATATAAAATGTAGATGTAAAAATCAATGGGCAGGTTAGCTATACACATATGTGATACTGATAGTCTGGTATTTCTGATGTTTTGAGAAAATCTTATTGTAACTTAAAGTATATAATAATTAATCTCTGAACAGATCATCCAGTCTGCAAATATGATGAAATTAAAACAACCACATGGTATTCTGACAATCAGAGCACACTTGACCCTTTTGATATTATACCTATGAAAAAAATTATGGAGTACCGATTGGAACCAGTTAGTCATTTTGCTTAAAGTTAAACATAGCATTTCATCTTGTATCAGTAAACTTGACATTGAAAAATAACTACTATAATCCCAGCAAAGAATAATCATGTAGACAAGCAAGTATTATAAATATAAAACTAAATAACTGGGTATTTTAATTTACAATTTAGTAATTGAGTCACATGTTTGTATGTCAGGCTTATTAGGGTTTAGTCTGTTGTCAATAAACGGGCTAACAATTTTGCAAAAATATCATAGACTAGATATTTAATGTTTTGAAAAAAAGAATAGCAGGTGGCATTTTCATAAATTTTAACAAATATAGATTAGATTTTACACATGAGCACACATTTCATATAAGTAAAACTACTGCACCAGCCCTGGGCTAATAACTATGGAATTCTTGTTTGCTTAAATACAAAATTTTGTAGTCCTAGCATAATGAAAATGTAATTACCAAAAATTTACATAGGGCATTATTGTTAAAGTACAGGTATGAGTTAGAAGTATATATAATGTGATGGATTAATTTTTTTTCCAGATACTACGTCAAAATTTCCTCGTTCTACAAAACAAAAAGAAAGTTCTGGATTTCGCTATGAACCTATTAAAAAGCCTGCCCCACAAAAAAGTCGCACTACAAATGATAAGAGACCACGTCCACGTGGTAATTTCAACATCAACAAAAACAATGGATTGTATTATAATGGTGAAAGGAGTCAGGTGAGTGAGCTGTGTGTGTGTATATATATATGTATGTATGTATGTATGTCAACACTTCCATATGTGGATCTCTCAGTATATTATAAGCCCGGAATATTTTTTTAGATGCTGAAAAATTAATTTGTCTAAGTCTCTGGGATATCTGTGTTCCCCAGACCCACCACTCTCACAGTTAAGTATGAAAATATGATACATCAATACTATCAGTTCTCTTCATAATCTTTAACACCTCAATCAGATCCCCTCCACCTCTTCCCCCTTCAAGGGAAAACAATTTGAGAGATTTCAACCTCTCTATACCAGGCACCATTTTAGCAACCCTTCCGACCCCCCTCCAAGAATTCAGTGTCTTTCCCAAGGTAAGGAGCCCAGGACTGAACACAACACTCCAGCAACCTATACAATGAAACTACAACCATGCAAACAGAGAATTAAAAAAAAGTTGAAATAAATATATAAATGTGTAAATTAGGTATTTTTGTAGTACTTTCTTGAGGCTAAATACACATAAGATAATATTGACATGTTCAAACTCTTATAAATGATTTATTTGTAACAAAACCAGTATATATATTATTGTTTGTATTACTGAATTACTGACCAACTTTGGCAAATACTGATAGTGGCAAAACTGATCAGTGCCATACTTATGGCTAAGATTATCTGGAGCACTGTAATAGTATCTTATTTGACTCTAGGTTTTCTTATTGTACATTTTCTGTTGGTATAGCCATAACAATTTAAACTTTTATAATACAGAATAAATTGGCCTTATTTTAAGCTTAATTTTTATTTAGGCCTATAGATTTTTAAAGTGAAAATCTTATCTTCTTTCATGATAAAAACAATGAAAATTTAGTTATGAAATGTAATGGATATCATACCGTATTCTTAAAAATAAAATCTTTATTACACCTGCTAGCATGAAAAAGTTAAACACTACTGTTAAGACAACAATGCTATATTACAAACAGACTTTCTAGTTTTATTCTTATTCATTCCCTGATGGTTTTCAAACTTTGTAAAATAAAGTTATAACTTTCAAAATTATTTGTATCACAAAATAAATTGATATTATTATTAAAAACTAGGTTACAAAATCTCCAAGTTTTTTATTTTATTCATTGTTGTAAACAGGCTTATGAACATTTAAAACAGTACATAATTAAATAAAAGTCTGGAAAAATGTACACAGCTTTGTTGCAACAAGTCATTGTTAATTAAATTAATCTTTCTTTGTTTATAAATGCACAGCAGTGCATGAGCTTAAAGTTTACCTTTGTAAACCGTGGTAGTGTTTTGCTTTAATGTGGAAATAAAACGAAAAACAATTTTCTTTCACATGCTTAATTCTTTATGGCAACTAAATAAACATTTAAAATAGCATGAAAATCCAAACCAACAAGATTAACTGGAATACCAATTGTAAATTGTGTTAGTACTAAAAGTTAACCCTTTAGGTGCATACACTGCCATGTGGCAACCACATGATGCTGTTTGAATTTCCCACGTATAAAAAATCAGTAATGTTTGCAGGTGACAGTTGTTTAATTTTTATGAGAAAACATACCCAAAATGGCATCAAATCCCTACAATATTATCACATTTAAAGAGACAGTTGAACTTGTGCAAGCTGATGATGATTCTGACTCTGAACCTGAATTACCTGATGATTTTTAGCAAGATATGAGTGGTACTGATGTGGATAGTTATAGCTGTAATACTGAAGCAGGGCCTGTGGAGGCAAGTGATAATGGTGACACTGACAGTGATTATGAGGTTCCCATTTCAAAAAGGGCCAACTTTCAAGGGAGGTCTCATTTACATGGTGCATGATGTAAAAACAATATATATTTGCCAGTGTTAGTACGCTTGGGTGTTTGACTATACCCAAGTCGTCCCAGGACTAGGTCTGGTAACGCGCAACAACCTACACGTGGTATGGTCGACTTATTCATGGGAGTCAAGCTAGGTGTGGACTTGGTGGTGGAAATAAGGATGGGTGGAGGTTGGTGGTGGGTGAACATTTTCAACCTTGGATTTCCAACTTTGATGATTGAAATATAAAGTACAGGAGCAACCATAATCTAAATGATGCAGACCCTATCAATTTTTTGCAGTTATTCCTGGATGATACTGTATTTGATCACATTGAAACAGAAGCAGTTTTTACAAAGGAAAGGTGATGATTTGAAACCACATTCATGATTTTGTAAATGGATACTTGTGAACTGTCATTAGAAGAAAGCATTCTGTGCTTTGCACCTTGCAATAGGCTTAGTCAGTAAACCCAAAACAGAAGACTACTGGGACACATTTTGGCTAACTGACACTCCTGGTTTCTGTGTTCTTACTAAGGATAGATTTGAATTCATCTTGAGCTTCCTGCACTTTTCAAATAATAATGTGATCATGTTGCCAGAGGTGCATCTTGTCATTATAGGTTATTCAAGGTGTGTCTACTGATTGATATGATAATTTGCACAACTGTTTGGTCCAAGAATGGAATTGAGATTGGATGACATGACAATTGCATTCGGAGAGAGAAATGTTTTAAAACAGATAGCCCAAAAAACTATAAATGGGGGATTCAAAGCTTTTGTTTTATCTGAGTTAGGAAATGGATAAGTGCTTGAATGGTCACTCTATGCAGGTAAAAATGAGAATGGTGATGATGTGTCAGTAATCTATAGGCTTGGTCAGAATATGATGGAACCATACGTCGGTAAAGGGCATGAACTGTATGTAGACAGTTATTTCACTAGGGTGCCCCTGGTTTACGAACTGTTTAATCAGAACATGGGACTGTGTGTTACAGTGAATGTAAACTGCTGTGACATGCCAGCAGCTTTGAAACCTGCTGTCTTATCTCTCAAAAGAAAAGTGATGTTCCTGTGTTCATGAGGAAGGGGAAACTGATTGTGTGTAATTGTTTTTTATTTCATTATCTGTATTCACAAATCACCTCTGAAAAACTGGCCTATGGTTATGTAATTTGGCTACTCAAAGAGGTTTTGAACAATAAATACAACATAGCAAAAGGTAAATAACTCTCAACTTCTTCTATGAAATCAGGGGATTTCTTTATGTCAGATCAAAAGAAAAAAATTAAACTACAAATTTCTCAAATATGGTGGCCATATTGGAAGTGTGATGTCATCAGATATGCAAATAATTTGAATCTTCAGGTTGTACTGAACAGTTGTTTCCATATGTATCTTGGGCTACTTCAAATGGTTTTAGAAATATACTTGATCTAAGTAAACATGTATATAGACCTGAATATACAAACAAAAAAGTATGCACGTAACGGGTTAAAGCTACATTTCAACTGGAAAACATTTTCTAAAGGTGACAAGTGAAACCATAAAAGAAAATTTCTAAAATACTATAAACCAAAGCTTCTAAAAATATATTTATCTTGTTATAATAGGGAATGCAGTTCAGAAGTAATTGGAATCACTATAAACAAAAAAACTTGATAGCTTAAAGTAGGGTAAAGTGTTTTGTTTATTGTAAGCACATTATATGTTTTAGCATAGGTTGCTTTGTTAATTTTAGACCTTTGTACAGTTAGGTTAGATCCATCCAACCAATCACCTCCAAAAAACTGGTCTATGGTAATGTAATTTGGCTACTCAAAGAGGTTTTGAACAATAAATACAACATAGCAAAACATAGCATGCTTTGTTAATTTTAGACCTTTGTACAGTTAGGTTAGATCCATCCAACCAAGATCTATAAGGTTAAAAATAGTGTGGTATTGGGCCAGTTTCACAGTTTCCATGCAGTCTGTGAAAGTGTGATTTACATAAAGACTTACTGATGTCTGATAATATTAGATGCATTCTCTAAAACAACTTTAGCTTAGACTGACCTTTAAGATTGTAAATACAGTTAGATATTGCATGTTGTAATTGAAGATTATCTGGCTGTAGAGCTGTACAAAAACTTTTTTTTTTAATTTTTCAAAGCTTGGTTATTGAAATATAATGCAAATTTAAGTAAGGTATTTTTATCCATTTTTATTTAAGCTATAGATATATAACAAAATGACCATTTGAAACTTTGTTATAAAAATCATCTTGTATTGTTCCACAGGTAGTAGAAAGTATTGGTGCTGAAATAGGTTCTGCACAGAATCCTGGTTCAAAGAAGATAAATTTAAATCATCTTTTGAATTTTACTTTCACTCCACGAGAAAGCGGACTTGGTGGAAACTTGTGGCCCAAAGGAGGGGCACAACGGCAATCATCTTTACCTAGATACAACAAAGAACAGTTCTTACAAGCAAAGTATGTTATGTCATTTATTAAACACAAGATTTTATTTTTGAGTTGAAAAATTAGTTTTGGTAAAGAAGATGTATAGTAAAGTATACATTATACACTCTGACACAAAAAAAGTTCATATAATGTGAAAGGGTTGAAATTACAATTTTTGGTATGTTTATGAACGTGGTGGCATTTATTGATTTAAGATATAGACACTCAGGCTACTAAATTCCTGGCATTCTAAATTCTCATAGGAATTTTCTTCTGTACTCAAGAATGTAAAGTCAAGTTTATTGATACTGGCAGGAATGTAAGCCTTGAACAATCACTCTTAATGTACTATAAAACTATCAATATTTAAGAAGTTTAGTATAGCCCTAGAAGGTGGGAAGTTCCCAAGATTATTTCTTTGTCTGGAATTGCTGAAGGAAGTGATAAGTAAAAATGTTGTCCGAAAAACAATATTTTTTAAAAATCAGATACAGTTTAGTTAGTAAGCCTGATAAATTACAGTGGAATTCTGCAACATTAATAGAGTAATTTATTAAACTTATAGTATTTGGTTATTTCAAAATGCATATATAAAAAAAAACTAAAAAAATCTTGTTTTACATCCTCCACTTGCAAAATTTGACAAGGCTTAGCAAATTATGGCAAGCTGGCAAATGAGTACAAAGTTTGTAATAAGAAAAAATCATTGTTTTCTATATTTCTTTATTTACTGTTCTGTGTTTTAAGAAAAATAACAATTTAAGAACTTATTTGTAAATAGTAATATAATATATGCATATATAATATAGTATAACCGAAATGTGATTGTATTTTACAAGATACTGGTTCACTAGAACAAACTGAAGATAGGCCAGTTTGTATAGGCCAGTTTTATACTCTCAGATACTGTAACATGACTGCACTTGCACCTCATCATTGCAACTTCTGTAATGTTAGTCAGTCACGTTTGAAAGGTCAATGAATTAAAAATAATAATAATGATAGATGTATAATGTTATAAGATTTTAAGCTATTTAGACTAAACATTTGTGGTTTCATGTTATAATTTGTAGTCATTCTGGAATGAAAAAAGTGTAATTTATATCTATTTCTAAATTTTTTATGTTAGTTAACGAGGTCAGTCAAATCGACAAAACCCATACAAAGATAAAATACTGAAAATGACACAAAATATAAAGATTTTCTAAAAAAATGTTTGATAATTAACTTCAGGTTATTAGGAGGTTAAAAAGATTTTGCATCGGAAATTTGAGAATTTTCTGCTGCATAAAAGTATTTTTAATCTTAAAATCAAACTTACATTGCATGTTGGACAGTCAACATTTGAAGAGAAAAAGGCATGAGCAAATCATTACTTAAAAATCTTAAAACTTAATAATACGTTCTGATATTTTGTGTACTAAAGCCTTTTAATGTTTACTGATAATCTGCAAAATTTCATGAAGATATGCTTCCTCTATTAAAAGTTATATTTTGAAAACTCTAATAAGAAAAAAAGGTTATGAGGTTGGTCCCTGGGACAGAACCTGTAGTGATAGAGTTAATACATTATAGAAGGCAAGACTTAAAAATCATTTGCTTGCTGTTGGCAACCCACTCTTCTGAAGGTTAGGTATGATTCTCTGCCTTTTTTTTAATAATCATTACTGTTGATGCTTCCTTGGTGTATCTATGGATATCTGTCTGTATGTACTTGTATGTGAATTTTATTTGAAGTGGGCTATAAGGCAGGCTGCAACAGACATGATACTATTGCATACATCACTGAGTACATGTTTTTCACCTACCAAACAGAGCCAGTTTTGAGTGCACATAAGTGCCGTTCTCATCTCTTGTTCAATTTTCAAGTAACTCAAGGATGAAAATGACTCTCAGTTGCTCAAAATTTTATGAACTCCTGGTGAACAAGTAATTGGTATCAAAAATTCACTTGTAAGAGAGGTGTCGTAGCAGCAATAATGTAAGTAAAAATATCCGTTTTACCTGATAATATTTATGACTTGTATAATTGGTTGTTTATAATTTGCCTTGAGATGGGGAATTAGGCACGGATTTAACATCTGAAAATTTGAGTGTATCCAAGTTTTATGATTTGAAAATCTGGTCACCCTAGCCATGCCTCGAGCTTCTACCTCATTGCTAGGCTGCGAAATCAACAAATATTTCTAAGTATGTGGGAAAACCTGGCTTGCCTCTTCCGAAATTTCTTGGTTTGTTATCTGATAACAATTTAGTTTATATATAAGTTCAGGATATTGTTATAAGTAGGAAGTTAATTTTTTGAAATGAAATACTAAAAAAAAAGTGAAGTAGAATCATGAGAAATTGTTAATAGATTTGGAATAGTTTATTGTGTTCTAAAATACATTTTTTAAACTATAGAAGTCTTTTTATGAAGAGCATTTAGTGTTAGACTTAAAGAGCACCTGGTGCACAAATGCAAACGGGTCATGTTGGGAGTTCTTTTAAGAATTTTTTAATGTTTATTTTTAAACTTATTGTTATATGTATATTTTTTCATAAGATTTTGATATTTATTTAAAATGTTCTAGAGATTATACCAATGCAATATCAAAACTGTATGTTTAATAAAAGTATTTTTATTCATAACCTGGAAACTACCTTTCTGTTCTTTTGGGGTAGGCAAATTTTCTGATATTCACAATCAGAGTTTTAGGACAAATATCACATAACAAAGTCAGATTCTTTCTTTTATAGCAATGTTTATTTATATACTAAAACCATGCAAACTTTCATGAGCAAACTTACTACATTCAGAGTTATAGTTTCATTTCACCTTGCAATTTTGAGTCCATTCAATATTGAAAGTGGATTTCAGGACATTTCATCCCTGGCATTTTTGTTTCATCCTGAAGCCATTTTCTACTAATTATTTCACTGAAACAACTTTTTAAAATCTCATTTTAAGCCCAATATTGATTTCTTCATTATTAATTTTTCAGATAGCCTTTAAAAATATCACTTTTAAAGAGTTACTGTTTCGATTATTATATAGAATTTAAATTACTTTATTACAAGATATTACATACCTTAGATACTAATAAGTTTTATTGACTAGTTTTTAGCAGTATGACTGTCATTTCCTGGTGTGGGCCTAAGATTGAAACAGTACATGATAAAAATTGTTACAAGAGGCTGTCCTTAAATCATCTAACACAATTTTTTTGATAATTTACAAAACCAAACCACTTTCCCTTGTAACACTGTAATGCTGAAATAAACACTCCCAAAAATGCACATTCAGTTTAATAGTCAGTCAATTTAATTTAAAAAAATTAACTAAAATTAACAAATATTATGACTTTTTTTATTAGATAATGAAATGTTTTTTCATAAATATGAAATCAAGACACATGGTTTGTTTGGTTTTGTTTTCAAGTCGATAGATGAGGGCCCCAATACTTTGGAGCACTGGTATTGAATGTGTTGAAGAAAACACTTCAATTAATTTATATACTACAGAAATAAAGCTCTGCAGCTGTAATTACAAGAAGAAAGGCAGGTTTAGTTAAAAAGTAAAGAAGGAAATTTTCCAATTTATTGTTGAAGCTTATTAGTCAATAGTTACAGCAGATTTTTCTATAATATTTTATCTGTTTAGTTAAATATATCATTGAAAATGTTATATGGACATCTAAAAGTACAAAATTACTTTCATACACAAACCTAAAGTTATTATAAAGTAAAGAAGTAATCATTAACCTATAGTAACAGTACAGACATGACAAGTCACACACAGATATTCATTGAGCAGGAAAAATATTTTTTTTATGTTGCTACATTATATAAGGTTACAATCTCACAATTTTAAGTGTTTTCTTTCTTTTTAATTGTACAGACTGTAAATTTAATGTTTTGTATATATAATAGTGACAACTGTAAATTTTCAAAGAGATTAATTCCATAAGGTGTCAAGCACCAGCTAAAAAGAAATTAAATGTTCCAGTTACCAGTTTGTTGTGCATGAAAATGGAAATTATGCTGTCCATTCAGTGGATCCTGATATTTTAGTTGACTGGTCTTTGGTGGAAGAAGTGGTAAGTATGTTTTTCTGCTCTTGTTTTTAAAAATTAATTATACAAGTGTATGTTTTGTGTGTACATAGGTAGCTTTAATTTCTGACACGATAACTTTCGTCCACTCATATAATAGGTTTTTTCGACATCTACTGCCCTCTATGTGCACAAATTTTTGCTTGCCATTAGCCTTGTGCTCCAGTTGTGTTATAGCGTGCAATAACCCTCCACCAATAGGAGTGTGACACACCTTCATAGCACAGCTGACTCCCTCTATACTGTAGAACCCAATCTTCATTTCTTGATTTGGCATGCTCAAGTGCAGACACATTTTAATTTCCAACATTTTTACTTAATTTTCTTTTATTTTTAGTCTAATTTGTTCAACAAGTGACTTAATTGTTTTTACATTCTGCATTATTCCATGATTATTTGTGGATTGAATTTGTTTTATCCAGTTAAGTTTCTTTTAATTGACTTCTCAAAATAGTGTTACAACTACTGCTTCTTCTGTAACACTTGCCACCATACCACAACAGTCATTTCTGTGGATTCTGGGTCTATTATTTCAATGGTTTTGGCCTTCTTTTCCTGCAAAATAGATTTTAGCATACAGCCTGATATGGCTCTTGCACCAGGGACAGATGTTGCACTCCTTGATGTGTCTCATATGTATAATGATATTTTGGATAGCCTTTTACCACCTCTTTTCTTTTCCATGCAGTCAAGAGCTATGCCTATAAATGTTCTCCATGTTTTTCGTCAACCATTCCTTGACGTAATTTCCCAGGTATTATACCTTTTATCAGTTTGCCTTTCCTGTACAGACTTCAGGGTCCATGCTGTTTAGTTCATAATCCAGTCACATTCTGGGCTTTGCATTTTTTCCCGGACTCTCAGTCTTTGAGTCATTCTTTCAGGCATGGTGATCACATCTTGAAATTGTAAAGTACTTTTCCCAGGCCTAGTTTTCACATTTGTGTAGACCCCTTCCTCACTTTCTTTGTTACCTTTTCCTACACACCTCTTTTCACCAAGTCTATCCACCTGACTTCTGTGGGGTTTTCAGGGTAGACCCATACCCTCCCTTTCTTCCTCTCCCTTTGTACCTATATACTTGGCTCTTCTGTTGGTGGGTTGTTCTTGGTGGTGTGCACTGTTTACTCTTGTGCTTTTCCTTCCTTCAGTTTTTCCTTGCCCTTTGTTTGGTGCCATATTTTGTAACTGTCAGTGTTTAGGAGACTTCCTACCTTGTTGGAGTCCTAAGTGTACCTTCTCATCAGTTTTCTTTTTTGTTTTTTGACATTTCCAACCTTATTAGGGCCCATTTCTGTGTCATACACTCCTTTCCCAGTGCCTTCTTTCCAGGTTTTGGGGCGAGCCACATGTCCTCCCCGCATTTACCATAGATACGTGAGTGCTTCATGTGTGGATATGACTCTCCCTTTCCCATCCTCCATTCCTTACAGACCTTTTCCATGCCTTCTCCTTGGGATCCCTTTTTTTCTCACCAGCCTCTTTCAGAATTGGTGGGGTTCTCAGTTGAGATGCTATTTCATTAGTCAATTACCCATTTCTGAGGTTCTATTCCCAGTTGTTTGTAATGCATTATTACAACAGAGTTGACATTCTGTAATTATTCTCCAACCTAGACAGTTTCATTGGCCTTCCTCATTCTGCTATGGAATTTGTTTTTTGTTTTTTTCACCCTTTGATGAGTTTTTACTCCAGGTGTTTGGTTGACCAAGGTGGAGATCTCAGATGCTTCTCTTCACATATCTGTTTTCCCCTGCATCCCAGTTTTACCTTCATTCTTGTCTTCTGGGGCATCGGGTCTTTTCATTCCACACCTTATTGTTGGGTCTGTCTTTGACTCACTTTGTTTCAGTTGGGTGGTTATCTTCTATGTTCATGCTGTCTGTGGTTTTCTTCATCACATGGATGACTGGCTGCCTTTGCTCTATCTCTTCAGGCATCTCACACTCACCTGATTTTCTTTTGGGAAAGCTACATATGTGGGTTAGCTTGTTTAGTTAGAGAAGGCTTCCCTGGTAGCCTTTCTTCCTTTGGGCATGCTCTCTTGCAGGAACTTCAGTGGCTATTTCATGATATTTGGACTCTTGTTCAGGATCCCTTGGATTATATTTTAATCCTCTATAGTTGTTTTTGTCTAGTGGCTCTACAGGGACATCACCATGGCTGATATTTTATTTTTCTTCCACTTTCCTGTCCCATGTTATATCTTTTACCACATACATCTCACAAGGTTGCTGGTCTTTGGTCAGGTCAAGGTTCCAAATCACTTTTTTTGGAACCTCCCATTTAGTACGAAACAGGTTGATCATGATCCATTTTGACTGTTCGACCGTTGTCTCTTCCAACTATCAACTGTGGTGCATTCGTTCTTGTTAACTTTGTTTTCCAATGTTGGTTCTCTTTTTCTGGGTCTACTCATTGCACATTCTCCTGTTGGCTTGTCATGTCCTGGGTGCTGTCATTCTTGTTATGAATCAGTTATCTCATCCCAACAAGATTCTCCCCATGGAATGATCCCCAGGTCTTTCGGTGGGCATGCTCCCAGTGGGGTGCTCCTCTGCTGGTCAAGTTTGCCACCCTCATCAAGGCCACACTCCCTCTGTTCTGATCTCCAGTTCCTTATCCATTGGCTCTGGCAATGAATGCCTTCAGTCTGGATTGGACCAACAAATAAAGGTATTCCTACCCTCCTATCTATCTCTTTCCCCAGATTTTTTTTTTTCATCAATTAAGGACTCCATTGATTAATCATTTAGCAAATATCACTAATCATCCTGCTTTATTAAAAACATGCTTTTTTTTTATTAAGATACTTTTATTCAGTTATTAATTATCATCGCCCATGTTAATGAAAAAATGTGAAAATTAAGAAGAAACTCTGCCATAAGACTTTAGACACTATTTATTAGAATTAAGTTACTTTTTTTAATCCTAAACTTTGTACATGAAAATGTATTATACACTCATCACAACTGCACTGTTTGACATTAGAAATGACAAAAGATTTACTTAATTACCAGTCACCTGTTGCAACAATAATGTGCACACTTTTCCAGATAATTTAGTATTATTTTACATTTTCGTATGTTTAGGACAGTGTTGAAGCCTTAAGTGTTGTACTTATAACTAAGCAGTTACTCAAATGCTTTGTAAACAACCAAGGAAAAGAATAATCATAACTCATTTTATTTATTATACAAATGCACATTTAGCAGAAGTAAAAACCTAGTATTTTAGGATATCCTTCTAGCCTAAATTTAAAGTCAAACATAAAAATTATATTTATCAATAATAATTTTGGTAGTTAATTACCATGACAAATTTGAAAACCATTAGGAAATGAGTAAGAATATATATAGAAAATTTTTTCAGATAATTTAGTATTATTGTTTAACAAGTAACAATGTTTAACTTATCCACACTAGCTATAGTAATATTTTGTTTTTACAAATATTGTATGTAACACTGTAACAAAATTTTTAGTGGTTTTTTATATCAAAGAAGAGACTTCCACTGTAATAATATAGTATTTTGGATCAATCAATGTTGACCATATAGTCCTAAAGTAACCTGTGATTTGAAGGTCTTGGGTAAGAATTCCATTGCCACTAAACTTGCTCCCCTTGCTCAGACTATCTGCCACTATCACTAATTTTGAAATGCTTACCGGAGAGAAGGTAACTGGCTGGCATCACCTACTGCCAACTCTGGCTATTTAGTGTTAGATAAAGTGTAAAGTTACTGTTATTGTTTTTCTAACACTGTGTTACATTTCTAATTTATGGCTGTATAACTAGTCTTTAATGTTGTGTAAGCAAGCTTGGATTTAGGAGAAGGGGTTTAAGGGATCTGGATCACTCCATCATTATATATATAATAACTGGTATAGGAAAAAAGGTCTGAGAGGCCAAACACACACTTATCAATTTCTCTTTAGAGATTAATTATGTTACTTATAAAACATTAAGAAATACAGAACTGCACCTATTCAATTTTTTTCATCAGGATTTAACCAAACAACTAGATATGTTTACGGTATCAAAAAGGAGCATTAGATGTCAATGTTTTTATTTTATTGTAGTATAAATTACTATAAAAGCCTTTTTAACATTTTCTAAAATCAACACAACTAGAGTCTAAAGCAATCCAGTTAAGTCCTGAGCCAATAACTGCTTATTTTAAAGCTGATATAACAATATGAATGTCGGGTACATATTGCCATGGTAAATTTTCATGCTTTGCCTTTTTTCTAGACACAGCCATTGTGTCCAGACTTTAGATTTGTTTTCATCAAAGTTAGTATTGTTTAGGACACCTGTAGCTCTTACTTAGTATACTTGTTATGTAACTGATTTTTCCTTGATAAGTAAAAATGAAATATTAATGCAGCTAGTTTGAAGTTGAACATTGTTGTTACTTGTTAACACTGTAGTACGATATTTTCTGAATAGATATTCTAGTTTTATTCTTATGCTTTCTATGTTGGTGTTCAAACTTTGTTAAAAGCGAAATTAATTGTCAAATGTTCTATTTTAGAAAACAGATTGATGTTATTGTAATCTTATGTTAATTGACTTTTAAACTTAGGCTTCTTGAAAAATATCAAAAATACTAAGTCTCTACTTTGGCCTGATAAATAAAATGATTTATGATTATTTGTTCCATTTTATTGGTTATAAAGCCTTTACGTAACTGTATAGTTATAGGTACAACACTTTAGGTCAAGCATTGTCATAAACTAGAGGTGCTAGGTTCCATTTAAATGTTTTAAAAAATGTTTTTAACATTTAAATTCTAATATATCAGTTTTTAAACATATTTTTGTAAATATACAGAAATATTGAAGTAACAAAAATAATTACATGTAGGATGTTCTGTTAGCATACATTTGCATAATCAAAACTTCATACATAATTTATTAGTAATATAGGGAATTTGTTCAAAATGAATTGGCAATATAATGAATTTTGGCAAATGGTGTGCATTGTCTGTTATAATGTACAATTATTGTAGAAAAAAAAGGTAATTTATATTTATTTAATTTTTTTTTGCTATGTGGTGGTTACAAGGTCAGTCAAATTGACCAAGCCATTACATGGTTAACTCTCTCAACACTGGCTCGGTCAATTTGACTAACCACATGACCTCTTTGTACTCAATTAAAGTCTTTATAGATTTAATACTTCTAACTTTCAGTATAGTGTGTATATCTTCACAAAATAAAATTTTAATAAAATAAAGATTTGTCCATTAACATATTGAGTATTTGAATAGTCCGTATGACAAGTAATTTTCATGTTAAAATTAAAATACCTTTCCTCATCTCAAAAATCTCAAATTTCCTTTGTGTAATCCCTAGAACCTCCTAAATGCTTTTCAAACGTATTCTCAGTAAAACTTTATAGTTTATATGTTATTTTCTATACCCAATCTCGTATACCGTATCTCGCAAAATTTATGTTGCCAACGCACTCCACTAAGCTCGATCTCCCACTAACCCAAACAGCTCCCCAAACCATCACGCTGAAACCACCATGCTTTACAGTTGGCTGCAATCTGTTGAGCCAAAACTCTTGGCGAGGCATTCTCCAGACC